GAAACACTTTAGTAGAATAACTTAAAAAGATAAAATAATACTACTTGATAGTCCAAACACAAATCGTTACAAAACTAACAACTAGTTGGTTCCACACTAAGCTAATTTACAAATGCTACTTACATTGCAGAAACAAAACATCAAATGGAAAACAATAAAGCATATCATGTTTTTGTATGCTGGTGAATCACACATGGTAAATCTCCAAAGAGAAGAGTGATTTATGCTCAAATCCAGCCAAGACTTTAATCAATATTGGGTGTCACATCTCAAGAGTTTGGAGGAGGTAGTGAGGCAGGAAAAGAGTGGCTAATATTAGTCTCAATAGTTTAGAAGCAACTTCTGTGAAGTGTAGTAGATTAAATAAAAATAACAGCAGATTTGGACTTAAAAAATGAAAAGTTAATATCGTGTACTAATTGCAAATACAAAAAAACTGTAATGGAATTCTAAAAAAAAAATAAAAAACTTATCCTGTAGTTTATTCTACATAAATATTTGAAGCCTCACAAATAAAATATCATACGTGTAAATCACATTAAGTGTCTCAGAGCACTAATTAATAATCTGTGGATTTCAAAAGTAAACCATCTTAATAACTATGTGCACTTTTCACAATAATGACTATAATGTTACTGGAGATGAACTCCAAGAAAAACAACAGGTTTGAAAGACGTTATCCAAATAACTAAAGAATTTGTATTTTGCAATATAATTTGACTAAACAAGGTAAATCCTAAATTATAATATTCTTAGATTTTATTTATATATTAGCTATTAAATTATAGTTTACTAACATGTTTAAAGTATAAAGAAATAAGTGGTGGAACCAAACTTAAACTTTTATGTTAGGCCTTAGTCTTCTAATTATGCTATATTCTTTTTGAAATGTTATAAAAAGAAACATTAGGCTTTATAGGAGCCATTAATCGACTGTAATACAAAAACTTCAAAAGCATAGTCTCTCTTCATTTGAAGTAATTTCTAAAATTTCCCTGTGCCAAGTATCATAATTATCTGTTAGAAGTAAATCTGTATTTGTGTTGAAACTTCTACGTCGATGCATAAGTTTAGAAGTGCATGCCACTGAAAAGCATGCAACGGGTAAATGTGAAATAAATATTGACTGGTTCCATGTGCCATCTTTATTAAAACTCCTGATTAAAAAAATAGAGCCAGGAACTGGAAAATATTTTATATTTCTTATACTAAAATTGCATCCATATATTACTACTGAAGAAAAATGACTTCCAAAGTCTTTTGATTTGCTGTCCATGAATGGTACTAACTTTTAAGACAAAAGAATACTGTTTGTGAATATATGTATATGCATATAAAATGTCTGAATGTCTGATAAAACTTATTAGAATCTATTAAAGTTAAAAACTCCACAAATCTAGGGCTACATAGCCCCCAAATCACAATCTGGTTTGAAAGATCGTGAGACAAAATCATCTTCTGGCAATACTAAAAAAAATAAGCATTTCAGATAAAATAAAGAAGAGTCGCTTCTGATTATCTGAATTCACAGAAAATTGCATCCTAACCCAAATCTACAAACAAGAGACTGACTCCTACAGAGACTTGACCACGTACATAATTACTCTTCTTTTTTTGTGTGTGTGGTTGTTTAATGGTTACCAGTTAATTAAGTGACCTCTGTTGCAACAGCCAAGTTCATGCAACTGATGTTTAGTTTAAAAATAATAATTGAAGGAAGCTGATCAAGGTCAGACTTGGTCCTTTGACAACTTTTAACTATATTTCCTTCTATTTTCTTTCATGTTTTGAGACCCTTATTTTTAGCTTTACTATCAAGCAGGTGATAGTCTCTGTTTCATCTCCCTGTGGTAATGACAGCAGGCTTCAACATTTACTCTAGTTTTCATAGATAGTGTACTGATGCAATAGACCCAAGCAAATTAAACCCACTCTCAGGTTTGTCACTAACTTACAAAGCCACTTTGAACAAGTTTTTTAACCTTTTCTTTAACGTCATTTTGGTTGCTCAAGATTCCCTGGTATTTAAATGCTATAAAGGCACATAATTAGATATATGTTCTGCATAAAGCTGATAGTGCTAACACTTGGTGTTTTGTATACACTGTGTATATGCTGTTTTATATAGTTTGACTTTTTGCCCAGTTTCTCTTATCCTCTGCATAAATTATTCCTTTAGATAGTCTCTTAAGTAGCCAAAGGAGAAAGAAACCAGAATGAAAGAAATCAATATATCTAAGTGAATGAAAAAAGATCTTAAAAGCAAAGGCATAAACTGAATTTGAATAAAAAAAGAGAGTAATTTTAGTTTTTTTAATTGAAGATGAAAAATATTTTACCTATTGTTTTTAAAGTTAAGAAATGAGACAATAAACATAATTATCATGTCAAATAATCATGCATTATGCTACAAACAATATTCTTTTGGTGAAAGAATTCAATAAGTTTTCGATTTTCTTAGTCACTGGCAGAGTTAGGAAAACCTAGGTAGATATCTGCAACTACACATCTTCGAAGGTTAACGGCTGCTGTGTTTGCATGTATTTGGGTTTGAGCAACTCTTGTAGTCGATAACAGATCAAAACGCAATAGCAAATCAACAAACTTACCACGTATAACGTTAAAATGACCTGAAACAGAGTTTTAGAGTAACATATTCAATTGCAAACACCAGGTGATTGAAATATAATTAGAGCATTGATGATATATTTTTGAAGGGATAAACAGTTCTACTGAAGTTAACTTATCCTTGGCTCTAAAAGTCTAAGCAAAAATTTAAAGGGAAAAGAAACAGCAACAAGGGAATAATTGTAAGAGGTGTAATAATACCTGCTTTATATTGATTATAACGCTGCAGTCACTGAAGGAAGTTTTCTCTAGCAATTTTTTTTTTTTTTTTTTGCGTGTTATGTGAAATGGCCATTAATTATCTAGTAGAGTGTGTGCTGTGAGAAACACACAAAGAGGAGTCCACAGCAGAATGGTTTGATTACTAAAGAGAAAACAGTAGCGCTTCACAGTTTACTGGATAGATAGTTTTATAACAATCATATCTGAACTGGCTTCACATTTCAACTAGCATTCTTTGTAACAACTCCGCAACTATTTTCTGCCGGGATTCCAATACTTCTAACAAAGAATTTTTTGGCAAATATGTATCTTCTGTACGTCCAAGGACTCCAATTATCTCCGTAAATGACGTTTAGTGATCAAGATCCCCCCTTCAATCTTTACTGCCACCTGTCCACACTCTTGGACACGCGCGCGTTTACACGCGCGCGTTCTGAGCATTTACCCCAAAATAGTAGACGTGAAGGTTCAAACACAGACGCACACCCATTTCCCACACGCAAATAATGGCAAATAAACACGAAAAGTTTCTGGCTAGGTCAGGATGGGACGTTTGTTGAGTTGGGAGTTGTTCTTTTTCGTCTTACAGCCTTTGGGGGCACTAGCCAGGAGTCTTCTACCAAGGAAGGAATAGTTAAGAGCTTCTCCACCTCGGTTTCCTTCTGATCGCGTCCCACCCCTCTTTCCTTCCCACCTCAGTTTCCCTAACCCTACGAGGGCGCACACGCTAGAAGAGTAAAACTCCGTTCCCTCTCCCGATCTTTAAACTTAATGGGAGGTATGGAAATCTCCGCGCAAATTCTGCGCGCGGTTCTCACGCTCCGGCTTCTGGTCCCCAACTTTCCCAACTCGCTTTCTCCCAACAACTGAAGTTTTCCCTCTGCAGCGAAGAGTGGGGACAAAGCGGAACTGTGAACGCGGGTGAAATGACCGTGTCTACCCCGAAACTGACAAGTTACCCCACTCCCGCCCCCTCTCGGTAGATCCTCCCCCAGTGAGCGTTCATTAGCATAAAACTAGTCTGGCCGGGCTCCCAGTCCCACGGCCCCCAGGGTTCGCGCGCTTTGCTAGGATGGGGAAGCCACCGCAGCGGCTCCTGTATTGAGATCCAAAGAGCATCCCAGTGCAAATCCGGCACCTGCTCATTGCGTGAGCTACTAACCTTAAATTTAAGAGAGAGAGAGACAAGGTAAAGAAAACAAAGCAAAGAAAGAGCAGTTTGTTCAGAAAGAGAGCGAGCGCGAAAGAGGAAGAGAGTGAACTGAGGTCTTCCTTCCCCACGTCTCCAGTTTAGCTTTCCAGAGTCACAGGCGCCCGATCATCTCCCCCACCTCCCGCCCCCACGGAAGAAAACCTGCTGGTCCCCTCGCATCTGCCCCGGGGCAAACGTATTATCTACTTTGCACACGCACACGCTCACACGCGGACACACGCACACAGGCGCGCACACACAGACCCCTCCCCTCCGCGGGCTTCCCCCAGGGTTTAGGGGTTGAACTCGCTGCGGGTCCCTCGGGATTGCCCCGGGCCTCTTGGCCTCTGTGGTCGTTCTCCTCCCGACCTCGAAGTGGCCCACTCCGGAGACTGCCTCTCGGGCCCCTCACCCGAAGCCTGTCTTCCCGCTTCCCGAACCCGGCCCCGCAGGGTCACGACCTCCCTCCGCCCCTGGGACACCGCTTAGCGCCGAGGACTAGCCCCGCCGTTGTCCTCAGGCTCGCGGTGGAACCCGGGTCCTAGGGAGCGCAACAAGGGCAGCCACGCTGTGAGGGGACCCTGGACGCTGGGGCTGCCCAGGGAGAGGCTGTGACTCCTGGAAAGGCACAGTCTTCCTCCTACCCGCCCCCTCCGCTCCGAGGCTTGGGGTTCCCGCGTACCCCAGCAGCCAAGCCCCTGCGGGCAGGCGGGCCAGGGGCGGACCGGGCCGGAAGAACGAGATCTGGGCTGGGTGAGGTGGCAACTTCTCAGAGGGTCGGGAGCTGCTGGCCAGCCCCGAGGACAGAGGACAGAGAGCACAGGGCCGCAGTCGCCGGGGCGCGCGGCTCGCGGGCGCGCGGAGCGAGCGGCGCCGGGAAGGGAGCTCTGGAAGGGTGAGGAGGAGGGTGGGAAGGGACCCCCGGTGGCGAAGGCTGCCCCCCGCCCCCACTCTTTACCTTGCGTTGGTGCAGTCATTGTAGAGGGTCTCGAAGTCCTTCCTGGAGATGAGTTTGCAGCGGTTCACTCCGGGCTGGATGGCTCCCAGTCCCCTCAGGATGCGAACCTGTTCCACATTGCACACCACCGGCGTGATCTCCAACCGCTTCAGCTTGGTGTAGACCGTGTGCAAGCCCCCCACCAAGTGCTTCAGGAACAAGTCGAAAGCCTGGGGCAGGCAGATCAGCTCGCAGCCCTCCACGGTGAAGGAAGCCACTTTGGCCCCCCTCAGATCCACCATTTTGCACTCATTATTCTGGGGGGTGTTTTCCACTGGGGACGGGGTCGAGTACACGGGTTTCCCGGGGAGGGGGCCGCAGCTGCTGCTGCTACTACTGCTGCTGCTGCTACTGCTGCTGCTGCTGCTGCTACTGCTACTGCTGCTGCTGCTGCTGCCGCTGCCGGTGCTCGCGTTGATGGGGGTGCTGGAGGCGCCGCCGCCGCCAGCGCTAATGCCACCGCTGCCGCCGCCGCCGCTCGCGGTCGCCAGGCTGGGGTTGCAGTTGCTGCTGCTGCTGCCGCCGCCGCCGCCACCGCCGCCGCCGCCTCCGCCGCCTCCGTTGCCAGCGCTGCCGCCGCCGCCTCCGCTGCCGCCGCTGCCGCCGGTGGAGGTGACTGTGGCCGCCGCCGCCGAAGAGATGGACTCCGGCCGGAACAGAGTTGGCCCTGAGGACGCCGGGGGCCCGATGGACGGAGCCGGAGACGAGGTTGCCGAGGAGGTGGAGGTGGTGGTGCCGGAGGAGGAAGCAGACGTGGAGATCGGGGGTTGAGGGGGGACCAGCTGGGTCGGAGGGATCAAAGCCGCCGGCACTGCCATGGTCACATATAAGGGGAAACAGGAGGAGGAGAAGCGAGGGGGAAAGTTGCCACACACCCCAGGGAGGGCAAGGGGGAGAAGGGAGAGAAGGAGCTAAGGGGCAGCAACAACAACAACTCCGGGAGAGAACGAGGAGAAAGGGAGAAAAAGAGGTGAGGGTAAGAAAGAGCGAGCGCAGGAGGGACGAGCGCGAGAGGCGCTCTGGAGAGAAACGCACAAAAGTGTCCCGCAAGTAGAAATGCGAGTCCTCTCCGGGGGCTGGGATCGGGTGCTGGTTTGGGAGGGGGGGGGCGGTTGTTGTTGTGTGGGTCCCGCTCTAGCACAAAGTTAAAGATGAAGGTGAAAAGGAGGAGGTTTGAGGACTCGGGTTCTCCCTGGCAAGTACATTGATCAAAGATTGAGAGGGGAATGACAGAGAGAAAATGAGCTGAAAAGTGCAGGCTGCCGGCTGGACGAGTTGTTGTTGTCACACGGTGCAGAGGGGAGGAGCTCCGGAAACTTGAAATACCCTTTGAAGCCGCAAAAACCTCACTCACTAGTATTAACCCAAATTATCCAACCAGGAACTCGGAGCGGAGACTCCGAGAGCGCGAGGCACAGAGGGAAAGCGAGTGAGCGAGGAAAGGAGGAGGGAAGGGGCGGGGTGGGGGCACAGGGAAAGAAACTATGGGAGGGACAGAGAGGAAAAGCCAGAGACACTGAAGTGGCGATCGGAAAAGGAGAGGGGATCTTCTACTTCTCTTCCACTACCGTTAGATTGCATGTCTGATATTCCATTTCGTTCGCGATGTCTCGTATTGTTTTCCAAAACCTACTAAGCAACCGCCTGCCAACTTAGAGGAGACGGAGCGCTTCAAGCTGTCCTTCAAGGATTTAGGATGCATCTCTGCTGGGTTTTTTGTTTTTGTTTCTTGTTTTTTTTTTTGCAATGAGATGTAAATGAAAACACATCCCCTCACTTTATGATTATTAAGAAATTATTTGGGGAAATGCTCACATGGAAGCAAAGCGTATATTTTATGCATCTGATTGTTTTTATCTATTCAATTATTTATTTGGATAAAGATAGTGAAAATTCGAGGACAGTTTTCAAGTTGTGGATAAAAAGTCAGTCTGAATCGCTTAAGAATAATGGAAGGCTCTGTATTCAATTCCTTGTTTCCTAATAGATTGTGGAAAGAAAGAAACGTGTGCCCTGATGTGGATCGCTCAGGATAACTTCAGTTTTGCCCCAAAGGGAGATCAGAATGCTGATTATGTCTTGAGAATTCAAAGACTTCAAGCACCCTTTAAATTTTAGAAAGTAGGGAAGAACCAAACACTGCTTTTTCTTACCTAAAACTCTGTAATTAATTCACCTGTCTTGCACAGTAATCAACTGTCCTCACATCCTTTAAGACCCAAGGTTAGTTGCTAATGCTATATGATTAATTATTATTCATATTTGGGAAAGTCCTTTTTGATTTGTCATTGCAAATGTGTTTTGTAAAGAATGAAAAGAACAAAAACAAAGCTCACCGCATGACTTGTAAAGACAGAAAGGGTAGCTATATTTAAAAACATTGGGCTGCATTTAGACTGGCTCTACCTCTTTGCCTTCCTCTCTCCTTTTCTTCCCTTTCTAACTTGTTGCATGAAGGTATTTATTCAAGGGTTTTTGACCAGCAAATGATTAGAGCATAGGTCAGTCTGTTCTCTGTTTATATCTCTAGGAATCTTAAATAATTAGGCTTTAAACCTGTCTACACATGTTCACTAACTTCACAAGCTGGAAACAATGCTTTAGCATTTGACAGATTCTAAAAATAAACTATTAGCACCAGGTTCATAGTACTGAGATATTTTATAATGAAATTTCTGCCATTTTAACATTAAAATTATCACATTTCTCTTTATCATTTTAATCCTTTAAACTTTTTGAAGTTTAATGTCAAAAGGTGCAGGGAATAGCTAGAGAAATATGACATTGTTGACTGATTTGTCTAAGTTTATACTAAACTTTTTGGGGTGTAGCACTTACATCAGGAGGCTTTCCTGGGTCATAAGAATTCAGAAAATTGATTGTTCCCAAAAAGTAGATAAACTTCTACGAATATAGCTAAAGTTTACACAGTTGTTTGGCTTAGTTATTTTAATACATTGTTATTTAATATATAGTTATTTGGCCAATGTATTTTAACATATTCCGAAATCATTCATCTTAACTTTTTACATCTCGTATCTGTTATTATTTCAAAAGAGGAACTTGATAGATACAACATACATCAAAACACTTATTTCAGTGTCTATGCATGTTTTTGAAAATATTACTTTTAATATTACTGTTAATGAATGGAAGAGAGAAAGAAGTTATTAAGCCCTAAAAACCTAATTTTATTTGGGAATTGCATGCACAACTTTAATAAACTTTGATGCAGTTTTTAAAACGCTATAGTAAAGTTTCTTCACTTTAAATTTTAGATCTGCAAATGGAAATAAATTGGAATTAGGTGCCCCAAATCTGCCTTTACCATTCCCATTTCTCATGTTTCCTAAAACCATCTCTCCCCCAATACCTGCCACATTCAGAAGCCACAGATGGGAAGTAATGATAGCTGAGCAAACCATAATCCCACGCTGCTTGCAAGCAAACTCCAAATTTTCTGCAGGGAAACCTGTGCCTCCCAGCACGTGCTCTATTCAGAAACAGGGTTTTGGGCGTTTGCCCCCACCTGAATGGGAGCTACCCCCCCACACACACCCTTACCTCTGCTCCCTAAACTGTTTCTAGAGACTATCACTCACTCCTCTGGTCAAGCAATAGAATGAGAAAAAGCTTATAATGCAAATTAAAATATATAGGAAAGAAAGCCTTGAAAAAATTTTTTCTTTCTTTCTTTCTTTCTTTCTTTCTTTCTTTCTTTCTTTCTTTCTTTTTTCTTTTAGAAATGATGCCAATGATTAGGGCAAACAGTACTTAACAGCAGATAAATCAACTCCACAGAGATTTCAAATTCTCACTCCATTGCATCTTTAGCTTTCAAAGCTTTAGTCTTGTTTGTTTATTGTTTTACATCTTTGGTTATTTCTGGTCCTCTCCCTCCATCTCATCTTCTCCAACCTGCACTCAATTTGCATAAGCAAAACTCAAAGTACTGTAACTGATATTAGAAAATTCTGCCTGTGTTTTGTGAAGACGTATTGTGCTGAAATCAATAAGACTGTTTAAAATTCAAAGACCTGCAAATCGTTCTGTTTGTCCTTTGATAGGGCCTCTGCTGATTAAAATGCTACCAAGAAAGCTTAATTGCTGCACTAATTAAGAAGTCTTTAATTTCTTTCCTGGGATATCCTTTGAAGCTAAGCTTGTACCAGTTCAGGGAAGGTATTTTCTTCCCTCCCTCTGCCCCATTCAGGCCCCTCCCCTCCTCTATCCCCCCTCCCCTACCCCCCTGACAAGATCCCTATGAATGGGAACTAATAGAGTGGTCTCAGGTCTCACCATCTATTACTTAACAAAAATCGGCCCAGGATGCAGAGTTCAGTGCAGTATGAAATGCAGCTTTGAGAAGAGCTGTAAGGTTGCAGGAGACAGTAAGAAAATACATAGTAGCTGTTGCAGCCAAAGTCCCGGTGAAAACCTGGGATGACAAGAGGCACTTTAGCCGGAAGATGAGGCCATCCTATTTGGTTAAAAGGGGCAGTGACAAGGAAATGCTTCTTTTGAAACAGGGAAACATAAACATATACTTTTAAAACCTTTGGTTTCAAAAAAAGAAGAATAAATATGTAGAAAGGTGGACTTATAGTTGGGATTTGGTAAGTATCATTTTATTTTATGAGAATAAAATCATGAATTCTATGGGGATTTATTTTTGACCTTTTTATAACTCAAGGAGGCATAGCACTGTATTACATCCATTTCATCCTTATCTATTGACCTATTTTATTCACTGATTTCTCAAGTGGGGAAACTGACTAAATGATTTCACAAAGCTTTCTCTGTAATCAATAGTCATTTTTTAGGTTTATTCATGCTGCATTATAATTCTGGTAAATGACTGCAAAGCAGAAGATTGTCAGAAAGATACAAATATTGACAAAGCCAGGATAATTCATGTCTTTAGATCTTCAGAATTCAATATAGCAACTGATATAGTTATTTGAAAGAAAAAGATTGAAAATGCATATTTCCTAGAATATAAAACCTAAAATGATTGAGTAACTGGCAATACGTATTTGAATCTGTTTCTTGAATATCTCAAAATTTCCTGAAAGCTTGGAGTTATCGCCTTTTCATAGCATCACTACATGATACAGAAACAATTTAGGCATATGCAGATAGGACAACAAGAAAAGATCATTACAATTTTATTCTTTTAATTTTTTTCACCAAGCTCTATTAGAAGCATGCACAGAAAAATACAGATGTATACTTCAGATATGTACTGAATCCCTTTCAGTGACAGGACAAGGAGATAACATGCTTAATAGATTCAAAGGCAGACTTACCATTCCGAGCACGACGTCACTCTAATTATGTTTACTCTAATTGAAAGCAAGGTTTTTTTGGAATCTGAAATTACTTTCAGAATTTTTTTTTAAATAATGCAAGTGGATCAAATGTTGATCACAAGCATTTCCATCTTTCAAAATGTATTGGAAAATTAAATGAAAAGTGGAGTTTGGTACGAACAATGCCCCAGGGCAAAAAACAACTAACACTAGATTTTCCAGTCCAGCCATAACACAAATCAATTTGAGCACACTTCTATGGCCAGACTGCCAGATTGTTATGACTGCTAATTCACTCAATCAAAGAGTGCATTAGCACACCCGGCACAAATAGCTTTAACAATAGAGTGCACTTCTGAACAATTCTAAGATATATCACAACAGAGAAGTAAAGAGGAAGCTCATTTTAACATCTACATATTTACTGATGGACCTGTGTTCTTAATAGAAGAGGAAGACGAAGAAGAAAGACTGAGATAAACTTCAGGCAGAGGTTTATTAAAGAGCCATCCGAGTTTGGCAAATCTAGAAAGATATCAGGGTACCAGTAGTTCACTGACTTTGTTAAACGCTTCTCAGGAGAGAGTCCAAAATTGATGTTTGCACTTCAGTGGTAAATCATTGAAGATGGAGAAATTATGCCAAGTAACTCTCTCAAGCCTTTTTAACTCAGACACAGGGCCTCACCAATCAGCTCAGCAGACAAACCTCGGCTGCTGCCTTAAGTAAAGACTTCTCTACTTTCTCAGTTTCCGGCGCTGCCTCTCCACTTAGGGTCCCAACTTCTGCCTTTTAGTGACTCTCACTCTCCCAGTCTCCCTCTCTTTTCCAATTGCCTGCTTCTCTACCAGAGCAAGGAATACGACTGCTATCTCACTGATACATTCTCTAATCAGGCACAGAGAGCTCGGTGAT